GCACTGTTTGGGTATCAGAAGCAATTAGAGGAGTGTTCTGTTTTAGAAGCTTACAGTTTAGGTGGTAAGATTTTTTTTTATTTCTATGGGGACTAATATGCCCTTTAGATAAATTAACTTCCTTTTATCACCAAAATCCTACCATAGCTCTATATTATGTACCTACTGCCTTCATCCATTGAATCCTGGTTTCTACTGATACAGGGGAAAATGTAACTCCCAACCTGCCAGGTATCAGATATGCCATTTGTGTACCCTGAAATCTAAGAATGAGTTCTAAGGAACAATGGAGGTTAAGAGCAGGAAAGTACTGATAGTGCCTGAGAGACAGGAGGGGACCCGAAATGGGTTGCCACTGAGGTCACTTCTCTATTTCCCTATGGAGGAAAATCATGAGGTGAGTATAAAATCAGGTGGATACAATGTGGGTCAAACTATAATCAGCCAATAAGATCACAAGTATAGCTGCTTAGCTAACACTGACCGAACAGAGTCTCATAGTGAGGGCCCGTGGAAAGGGCAAAGGTATTTTTGAAAACGATTGGGTCCAGATGATCTGATCATACACCTGGGTGACTGATGTCTAGCTGGACTTCACTGGACCAGGTGATACCAATTTTAGTATAATTCCAATTTGATGTTTATCCCTTAAGGGAGGCACGTAGATCTGATTGTTACATCTTTATCTTGAGGGCTGGTCTTTAGATGTGCCTCCAACAACAGTTCTCCTGTAGTTTTTCTGCTGACTTCCTTGAGACCCACATCCCTTTCTAACTATGTATTAATTTTTAATTTGGCTGTCTGTAATACTATTTTGGGAAGCCATGTATGACCGCCTCAAAGCTATTGTCAGTGTTCCTGTTATCTGGAGGCAATCAGTGAAAGTTGTCAACATGAGTACATAAAACTAAGTTAAAAAAAAATGAAATCCTGCCCAGATCAAGATAAGGTTTGGCTGCATATAACTGGGAGATTTAACACTGCATTGGTTTATGTAACATAGCTTATTTTTCACGTATGTACTATCTTAGTCTATGGGTTCCATCAGTAAGGTCGTCAAGGTAGATAATAGAATTCAGCCATCTGGTTCTCCACAAACCAAGAAGTAAAAAAGAGGAAGCCTCTTCAGAGTGCTTTCCTGGAGGCTTTCATTGGCCAGACTTAGGTGGTCAGCTGTCTGCTCTGAACTGGGTCAAATGTCACAGAAAATGGAGAGCCTCATGGCTAAGATGGAAGAGGGCAGTGGGTGGGCACACTGAAGCCGCTTTCACTTGGGTCTATGCCTGGTCTGTCCTCCTAGACGCCAGACTATTAAAAGTACACTGTGGATCTCAGCAACACATACACATTTACCTTTCCATTTTCGGTGAGCACAGACTGACTAGTGAAGAAAAGTTCGGAAAGAGAGAAACTGGGCTTCTTAAAACTACTTAGGACAGATGGCAAATGCTCAGTGTTGAAGTAGATAACCCAGTTTCCAAGGGGGCCTTTTCCTGACTATCCACAAACTACGGCTTTCCCTGCTTCATAATGCATTCCCTAAACAAAGGTTTTGGCCATAGGTAGAAAATATGTAAACAGAGTGTCATCTTCCTCACCTTTCCTCATGACAGCATTCTTCCCTTCTGAGCAGGAACACGATGACCTCAGAATCCTTTTCAACACGGTGCTCTTGATCCAAAAGACCTGGTGCTATTATTTAAATCTGGTTATCCTTACTGTATTTTCTTGTGGGAATTCTTCTGCTGAAAGAGAATCTCTGGAGATTTTGTTACTTTGTAGGAATAAACTGCACATAAAATTTTACTTGTATCCACAGGGAATGAATGTAGTTATGCTTAGGAAACAGGATAGCATTCCTTTTCAGATTGTACCAATACTGTTTTTAAGCACTGCTGGACATGTTCTACCTTGCTCATGTGACTGTTTACCTTACAGGCCTATGAGTAACTCAAAGTTTCTCAAATATACCCTGTACCCATGTTTGTGTCCCCAGGGTACCTGGCTGAATACACTCTCAAGGCATGTTTTATCAATAAATGAATTGCCTACGCTGGTCAAGGTGAAGTGACCTTCAAAATAAATACCTCCTCTATAGCTAGTTACGTACTGTCTGCTTCCCATCAAGTACCAAACGGAGGCCTTATACAGTGACACAGGGAGGTCATGGGAAAGCAAGAGGATGAGAGAAGAGCATCAGTTGTACAACAGATGGAGGGTCTTGGTATTTCATAATGGTTTAGGAACATTTGATAACTGATACAGGAAACTGGCTACAAGGTGATAAGAAAAGGGAAACTGTACCCTGAGTAGGTTCCCTTTCCCCTGACATGCATTTTCCCTCTTTGATCAAAGGCGCTGGCCACAGGCTCAGTGTTTCTTGTGTTCTACGGCAGGGGGATTCAGGAGTCGAGCAAATGACTGATTCACAGTGCATGCTGATGAATGTGGGTGATGTAAGTCTGCAATTATGCTCCACCTGATTCAACTATGGTAGCCTATTATCCTAGATTTATTTTTATAGGGAGATCTTATAATGAAAGCTAATATATAATATTGCTTGTAGCTTAAAGATATGATTCCACAGACAATTTTGTTAACCATAAAGATCACTACAGCACTACAGTATTGCCCCCCAACCCCCAAAGTGACTTTGCAAGTCCACCAACTTCTATATATTACTTGTTCATAATGACCAAATTCTGGAATTGTGATTATGGAGAAGGATGAAGGAAAGAAAAGAATTACCCAAGACTTTTTTTCTGCCCCAAAAGCAGTTGGGTGTGAATAGATCTAGGATAGTAATTATTTCCCCATCCTGAGGATAGGGCCTTGTGTCCACCCTTCCCCATTCTACATTAGACCCACCCTCTGTTGAGGGACTGCACCTGCAGATTCCCAAGCTGCTCTTCAACCTTACTGCCTGTTTACTTGATCTTAGCCAAAAGGCTGAGAAGTGATGTTGCCTGCCTTCTGACTCTGGCCAGGGCTGAACCTCACAGAAATAACAAGACTGATTCAAATCACTGACTCTTCTCCATCGTTTATCTTTCCACTCAGAAGCCAGATCTGTTCCTAAGTAGAGAGCTCCTAGCTTCCTTCAGAACAGAAAACAGAAAGTCAACACCTAGTCCCTTTGACTCATAAATGTAGATTTTTTCCAGTCTGCTTACAGGTGTAGATAGAAAGTAGGGGTGGATGCAGCTGAATGGGCTCCTCTTGGGCTTTGGAATTAAAACCAGGTTCAAATAGTTATTTATTAGTGTTTTGACCTTGTGCAGATTTACCTCTTAGCACTGGAATAGGCTTAGATGTACAAAAAAGTGAAAACAAAGAAAACATTAACAAAAACCCAAACCCAAAACCAGTCTAGTGCATGACATCTAGCAGATGGTTCAACAAAGAACACCTTTTATTTTGTTTCTCTTTGTATTTTTTTTTTTTTGATAATGAGGATTGAGCCCAGTATCTATGTACTAAGCCAAATTACCAGTTCTTTTTTATGTTTTGAAACATCCAGGTACTAAAACAGAAGGGAACTGGTATTTATCTAACTTTAGCAGTGTGCCAGAGGATTCATAAATATTTAATCCTCCATATCCTTTTTTAAAAACCTGTGCTATTTCTCCATTGTGGGTCATGTTTATACATTTATTAGTATTTTAAAAAGTTTCTAGTTCTGAGTTGAAGTGATATCATTTGGCTGTGACAGATGTGCTGGGGAAATGCATGGCTGTTATATGACAACCCTGACCTGATGAAAGAAGAGATGTAAAAGGAAGGTGGTAAGGATCTGAAGCCCTGGAGAGGCTGGGTACAAAGTAACAATTAAGGCTGTATTACTCTTTCTGATATCCAGCAAAGCGTGATGTGGGGTACATTTGCAAGCGAAGGAATGTGTATGTTCAGACTTTCTGGGTTACAATGTGTGGGTAAAGTGGCTGAAACTGAGAAAGATTTCCATATTGTCTCTTCTAGTTTTCACTTTATAATTTGAAGCACTGTGTAAGAGCAGGCACCCAATTATTAACCCATGTTTATGGTATACCCACTCAGGTACATTAAGACTTATAAAATTCAAGCCGGGGGTTGTGGCATATACTTGTAATTCCAGCTACTCAGAAGTCCCAGGCAGGACGATCAAAAATTCAAAGCCTCATGGGCAATTTACTGGCATTTTGTCTCAAATTAAAAGGGCTGGGGATGTAGCTCATTGGTGGCACGCCCCCAGGTCCAATCCCCAGTACGACCTCAAAATTATAGCATTTATATTAACGCTATGGTTTGAGGCTTGGGAGAGAAACTGGATGTAATTGCGCATGCTTGTTATTCCACCACGCTCGGAGGCTGAGGCAAGACGATGGAAAAGTTCAGACGGGGCCACTTAAATCTCACCTCGCATCCTCTCATGATTCTACCACTACTTGGGCAAAGGGTGAGGGGTCGTTCTGGTCGCTTTACACTCTTCCCAGCACAGGGAGCTGTGAGCTGGGAGGGGACGGGAAGCTAGTTCCTCATCCCCAGTGAGCAGCCTCGGGATAGACCCAAAACATCAAAGAGCAAAGACAGAGGTTTCCTTCACTTTACCCGCCTCTCTCTTCGGAACTTGAAACTCGAACCTCTCGGCAGCTAATTCGACAATGAAATCTCCGGGGTCTCCAAGCTTACTCCAGGACTGGGACGAGGTCAGGCTGGGGCCACTGAAAACCTCGACGCACAATCCTTCCAATCAGGACCCAATCTTTAACTACACAAGCAAACGACGGCAACACGAAGTCACTCCGTCTCAGTGCCCTAGTTGAGTCTGTGTCTCCCCATTCCTGCCCGCAGCCCACTCGACGACCCTGGTTCCGGACGGGAACACAGGGGTACCAAAGCTTGTACCATCCTGCAGAGCGACCAAGAACCTGATGACAGTCCTCTGCTCCGGGCAGGATCTACTTCCGGGGCATAAGGAAAGGAAGGAGCTTCCGGGGCAGGAGGAAAACGGGCTGGGGGCGGGGCTAGGGGCGGGGCGGCGCCGTCCGCGGGGGCGCGCTTATCTTCCTCGCCGCTCGGCTTGTCGCCTCGTTTTACCTACCTAGCGCGTCTAGGCCAGGGCCGCGCCCGTCCCCACTCTGCTGCTGGGCGCGTCCCGCGCATCCCAGGCCTGAATCGGAACCGTTCGCCGAGGCCGTCACCGGAGCCACACGCCGACCGGCAACCGGGGAGGCGGGCTTTGCGTGCCGCCCGCCATGGCCGCGGCGGGGTGAGCTCGGCGCTGCGGCCGAAGTCGCTCCGGGCGGGACTGCGCGGGTCCGGGCGGGCGCCGGAGGCCAAGGGGAGCCGGGGCCGCCGCCCATGGCGAGGCCGCGCCGCCGCCGCCGCTGCTGAGCCGGCGGCCGGGCCTCCCTCAGCGCCCGCCCGCGCCTCGGGCCGCCGAAGATGGGGACCACGACCTCGTGCTGCGTGTCGGCCAGCCCCAAGCTCCGCAGGAACGCGCACTCGCGCCTGGAGTCCTACCGGCCTGACGCTGACCTGAGCCGCGAGGACACGGGCTGCAACCTGCAGCACATCAGCGACCGGGAGAACATCGATGGTGAGCCGCGGCGGCCGAGCGTGTGGCGTTGGGGGGCGTGAGGTGCCGGGGCCGGGGCGGAGCCGCAAGGTCTGGGAACCTGGGCCCGGGCTGGCGAGCAGAGGAGTGCTCAGTCCTTTTGCGAGTCTAGGGATCCCGGGCAGATCCGGGCTGGGTGCAGGCTTTGTGATCGTGTCTTCACTTTGGAGCAAGCAAGGAGATGGCCCAGGTCAATTACCGGACACTCGTAGGGGTACCTTGCCGCGCTGTCCTCCATCCGCACTGCCGTTAAAAACGCAGCCAACCCCGAGGATTTTGGTGTGTTTGCGTGTGCGTGCCTATATTATAGACATACGCACACATGTATGTATCTGTGTTTATATGTCTATATATGTATTTATTTTAGGGAATGGTAGCGGGGTTGGGACCACATAGCTTCTCCGTATTTCCAAACAGTTTTGGGTCAGGTCTTTTTTGCATGGACTTGAATTACAGTGCTATGAACTTAGGACTCATCTGGATAACTTTTGATTTAGTTTAAAGTTTCTGTTTAATAAAGCTTAAGGACTTATTACTGCGTTTATTATTGTTTCTTACTAGTTTTGCAGTATTTTTATTAATATGGTTTTACCAATAAGCTCTGTAGCCTCAGACTCTACAAAGGGGTAGTTTGTAAATCATGCTTAAAATACAGTTTACGTAATTTTCAAGATAAATTTGAAGTTGGGGATACGTTTTTATGTCTTGCTATTTCTTTTTTAACCTCAGATTGTTTTATAGTTAATGTAGTGGAATTAATTTGAAAGAACTGCGTGAATAAATTGATGCAATCTTTTTTTTTTTTTTTTGGAACTGAGAATCGAACTCAGGACCTCAAGCAGGTCAGGCAGGTGCCTTGCCACTGAGCTATACCTTCCAGCCCATTTAATACAATCTTGCTTACTTAAGAATGGAGCACTCGCTATAGTATGGAAACCTTTTTAAACTACTAAAGGGAAGCATTTTCTCATTGTTTGACTTTTATTAATTTCTTCTGAATGGTAACTTCATCTTTTTAGGATAGCAAGTTTATTAAATAAGTACCATAGACAGAGACTAACACAATTTGTAGTGTATAATAGGTACTTAGTAAATTGTGGTTCCATACGATTTTTTTCTAGTGCTATTTTAGACGTTCATTATCTTAGCGTACTCTTTAGATGTCTGAACTATAGCTATGTGTTTACATTTATGCATCATTAAACATCTAGCAGGATATTAAAACCAGAGCTGTTATAGCCCCAAGCACCTGAAAGAAATGCCTAATATTTAATAAAGATTTAATAAGTGTTATATTTTAAAGGAAGGAATGAGTTTATTGCAGAAAGCTGTTTTCAGTTCTCTGCAATGCTAGCAGGCAAAAAAATCATTTGTAAGCATTTTTTTCTTTATGTCGTGAACTAATATTTGGTGGAGACTTTATATTTTAAATGATAGATTTTTTAAAAAAAGAAAAATAAAAGATTCATATTTCTAAGAACAAAGCTGCATGTTCATGTGAGTTAGGAAGGAAACAGGAAAAGCAATTGTAACCAGGCATTTGGCCCTAGTGCTTTGGATATTGCCAGTGAACAGTAAAACAGAATGGTGTCCTCTTTCATTTAAAAGAAATCCACTGTCGGTCATCAAGCATTTTTTAATTTCTCTTTTTTTTTTTTAACATTTTTTTTTCTTTTTCTCTTTTTATCGGTACTGGGGATGGAACTCACGACCGCCTGCTTGCAAGGCAGGTGCTTATGCCACTGAGCTAAATCACCAGCCCCTTTAATTTTTCAATTTTAAAATTTTTTTTTTGTCTTTTTGAGACAGAGTCTCACTATGAGGTTCAGGCTGGCCTTGGGCTTTCTTTGTAGCCCAGGCTGGTCTCAAACTTGCAGCGATTTGCCTGTCTCAGCCTCCCAAGTACTGGGATTAGAGGAATAGGCCACCACGTCTGGCCTGGCATCAAGTATTTTTTTGAGAGGATGTTTACAATATCACCAACGTCTGCTTTGCTGATTTTTTTTTTTTTTTTTTTTTTTTTTGTCTTTTTCCTTTTTATCGGTACTGGGGATTGAACTCGACTGCCTGCTTGCAAGGCAGGCGCTTATGCCGCTGAGCTAAATCCCCAGCCCCTGCTTTGCAGATTTAGTTTGGATCATTCTTTGAGAGGGCATAGAGTAGTGATGGCAAACCTTTTAGAACTTTCAGGTGATACAAACAATAGTGGTATTTGTGCCATAGCTCCACCACTACTGATATAGAACACACTAAGAAGCTTTCTAGTCTAGACTGTAGTATTATCTCTTCCCAGATCCAGTTCTTAGAGTGTTGCTAGTTTAAATCCAGAATTTCTGAGTTACAATTTAAACAATTAATAATTTCCCCCAAATTCAGTAAATAATACTTTTTGGATTCATCTGACCAGCAGTTCTCAGCATTGGCTTCAGATATGCCAGAAATCTAGGCCAGGACATTAGTATTAATATGTTTATTTAAAGCTCGCCAAGAAATTCTAAGGTGCAGCTGGGTTTGAGAATCACTGGGTGGAAGTGTTGCCTCCTGTTCCAGTGATATTTTGGTAGAAATTCATGTGATATCAGAGGCTGGGAGAAAAGAATAGGTTCAAGTTTTAAAATACATATATTTTGTATATCCCTGTGTCTATCTGAATTTCTACCGGTGGCTCTCTGTATCCTTGGGTTCCACATTTGTGAATTCATCCAACTGCAGATCAAAAATATTTTTAAAAAAATCACTGCTTGGAAGTGCTATCTCCTGTGAGAGACTCTAGAAGAAATGAATCTCATATCAGAGGCTGGGGAGAAGAGAACAGACTTAAATAGAGAGACAGTGAGTTTATATACAAACCTATATATGTATATATACATACCTGTCTTCATCAGTTTCCTGTCATGTGACCAGTACCTGACACCTGCAGCTGAAAGGAGGGGAGGTTTATTCTGACCTACGGTTTCAATCTGTGGTGGTTTCAGTGCATGACCGAAGGCTGTAAAGGAGCAGCAGGATAGTAGAGAGACAGAGTGGAAGAAAAGGTGTTCATCCTTTGACAGCCAGGAAGTGGAGTGAGAAAAGAGGAGCTGGGAGGGAGGAAAATACCTCCTCCTAAGTCATGTCCCCTGTGCCCTACTTTGAACCAGGATCCGCCTTCTAACAATACTTACTGCTCCTGAACTCATCAATGGATGAAATTACTGAATAAAGCACTTGATTCAATCAACTTTCAGACACAGGAGAATTCTGGGAGGCATTTTAGGTCTAAATCATGAGAATTATCCATCTATCTTTATTCTATATATTGGAATTTTCTAATTTCAGGTGGCTCTCATCATCCTTAGAGGCCATATCTGTGAATTAATGTAACTGTAATAAAAAGTTCCAAGAAAAATATTTGCATCTACCTTTAACATGTGATTATGCCCTGAAAACTATTTTCATATCGTTTACTTTGCATTTGGTATTACAAGTCATGCAGAGATGGTATAAAGCATGTGCGAGGATGTGTATAGGTTATATGTAGGTAGGCCATTTTAATTACAGGTCTAGAGCATCCCTAGAGTGCGTTATCTTTAGGTGTCTTGAGATACTGAGGGATGTAGTTTGATCATTAAATTATCAAAAAACATTTTAAAGTTGCATCTCAAGAATTCTTGATTCCAGTGTAATCAAAAGCTGATGTGCTTAGATATTATCTTTATTATATGTTGAACCCTGGTAGTGAAAATGTTGAGTTCGTGAAACTTCTGTGATAGTTCCATTTCTTTAAATCACACAGGTAGGACGTATGTATCCTGGTTTTCCTCAGTCTAACCTCTGCCGCCCAGATAGTGGGATAATGCTAGTCGTGTGCGGTTTCAGTGGCCAAGGCAGGTGGGTAGGCTGTGGTGATACCTGCTAGTGACTTGTGTGTCCTGTGCTTGATATATTTTAATCTTGGGTTATTTATGGTTTTAAAATTTATATTCGACTCACTTGCTCCCCAGGTCTTATTTTTCATGAAGTCATTCAGAGATTGAGGAACAAGACCACTTAACAACAGTGACAGTGATAATTGCTCTGTGTTGGTTGCTGTTTTAATAGCTCACTTTCTGTTCATTATTTGGAATTCACAATAACTCTACCGGTAATAACATCTACCCTACCTTTTATGGCAAACAAATGAGGCAGAGAGGAGGTATGACTAGTATTTAAAGTCGCACATCCAGTAAATGGCTAGCATTGCCTGAGTAGCCATCACATTGACAAGTCTGGACTTGCTTTCTGGAACAAGGTATCTCTGATCATTGCAGTCATATCTATAGAAGTGTCATCTGTCTGCAACAGTGGTTCAGTGTAGACTTCTGTGATAGATGGGAGGAAAAGTGGAATAATCGGCCAAAGAGAGTTTACAGAATTACTGGAACGTCCATACCATAGTGTCATTTTGGGGTTTTGCCTCACAATGATTAAGTTTCCTGCATCCTTTACAACTCAGTTTCTCCCTAACCTAGATCCAATATGCTAGAAAACCATGGTTGTCTTGCCTTCAAAATACATCCAGAGTTCAACCACTTCTCAAAATCTGTCCTGCTGCTCTTCTCCTTTAGGCAGCTGTTGTTTCTGCCAGTCTCCCTGCTCTGCCCACTTCTATCCTTGCCCCTGCAGTCTGTTCTCACCAGCAGCCTTCAAGGCTGAGATCTAATTTAAAATTGAACATATCACTCTTCTAGACAGAAGCTACAGTGGCTGTTTCCTGTAAGTAAAAGCTGTGTCTTTACCAGTGATTCCAAACCCCTGTGGGATATGCCTGCCCTCAGCAGTCTCCCTTACTCATTCCTGCCACATTGACTTCCTTTTGCATTGTTCTTTGAACATACCACACACCCTCTGGCTGGAATGTTTTCTGTGCATCTTTTCATTTTTTTTTATACTGGGAATTGAACCCAGAGAATGCTGAATTACATCCCTATGCTTTTTTTTTTTTTTTTTTTTTTTAAATTATG